TTACTGTAAAACTAACCAGCTGTCTCTTTGTCAGTTCGTGTCTTGTATAGACAGATGATTGGCATGGAAGTGAAGTGTGCTATTATGGGATGGGGGAGGACAATGAGCGACACTGATTCATGGTCTGCAGAGACATGGGAAAAGCTACACTAGGCATATTGTTAGAAAGCGTGCGTTGAGATTCCAGGACATAAATAGCTATAAATGACTTTCAAATTTACAGGAATCTGCTGAGATTAACAAGGGGAGGTTTCATGAGATTTTAACACATGCCTGGACTTGCTGCTGATAGCGGTGACGCATGTTAGGGCTCACAATTTCACAAAAATATTAACAACACTGATAATAATAAGAGCCTGAACTGAGTATAAATAATAAACGAGTAGAAAATCAGTATATTAGAACAATTTCTGAAGGATGAAATTGAAGTAACGATGCTGAAAATTCAGCTTTGCATCACAGGAATAAATTACATTTTAAAATATATTTAAATAGAAAAAAAATTATTTTAAATTACAATAATATTTCACAACATTAATATTTGTACTGTATTTCTATCCTAAATAAATGCAGCATTGGTGTGCATAAGATACTTTTTAATAATGTAATTATTCCAAACTTTTGACTGGTGATGTAAGTTCGTGAGACTATTAGTGGAAGGTTTGTTTTACAATATTTAAAGGGGTCATATGACGTTGCTAAAAAGAACATTATGTTGTGTATTTGGTGTAATGCAATGTTTTTGTGCGGTTTAAGGTAAAAAAAAAACACATTATTTTCCATATAATGTACATTATTGTTTCTCCTCTATGCCCCGCCTTTCTGAAACGCGTAAATTTTTACAAAGCTCATCGGTCTGAAAAAGCGAGGTGTGCTCTGATTGGCCAGCTATCCAGTGCGTTGTGATTGGCCGAATACTTCAAGTGTGTGACGGAAATGTTACGCCCCTTAACATACTGTGATACTGTGATACCGTCTCCCAGCAGGACGCGACTCAGTCCAGCTGCTCTGCTTGTGCACATCCCATCATCGGTTCTCTTTTAGCAGTTCAGTCAATGTACTGTTCCCTTTCGATACTTCACTTCGTACTGTGTCGCTAAAAGCTACGGGAAACTCCTTTTCTCCGATTTACTGAAGCCTTTTTTTCAATCACAGCAGTGTCTCCTGCTCTTCGCTGATTCTACGAGATTTGAAGCGTTCGCCTGCAAGCTGATCCAGCCGCCGTTCTGGAGCAGCAAGATCAGCTCGCCGCCTCCGCTCTCTGCTCACCGCTTGCAGCTCGCCGCTCTCAAGCAGCACTGATCAGCGCGCCGCTTTGCAGCACCGGGTCAGATCGCCACTTCAAGCAGCTCTGTTCCTGCGTCGCTCTCAAGGCAGCCCCGGTCAGCGCTTCGCTGCAAAGGCCACTCATCCCTCGAAGCCCTGCCGAACGACTTCAGCCCTTGCTGGTCGTGCTTACACTTTATGGCGGTGCTCCAAGTGTACCAGGCAAAGCTCCTTCGCGCCATGGATGAGTCTGGGCCAGAACACTCTGCAGCGTTCAGAGAGCTGCGCAGCGCCACCGATCTGGCCCGGCGCGCCACAAAGACGACTGCACAGGCCATTGGGAGGTCGATGGCCAGCCTGGTGGTGCTGGAACGCCACTTATGGCTGAATTTGACGGAGATCAAAGAAGCGGATAAAACCATCTTCCTTGACTCCCCGGTCACCCCCACTGGCCTTTTAGGATCTGCTGTGGAAGGGTTCGCCGAGCGTTTCACGGCTGCACAGAAGTCGTCCAAAGCCATGCGACACTTCCTGCCGAAACATTCCAGTTCTGCAGCTGCTGCCAGTCACCCCAAGCCGGCGCCGACTCAACAGCCAGTTAAAACTACGCCTCCTGTGACTCAGCCCTCTGCACGGCCTGAGCCCAGGCAGCGCTCGCGCTCTGCAAAGCGCCACCCTTTCCCGAAGCGCCACGGACCCCGGCCCAAGATTGTGCTGGATCCTGCGCCTCAGAAGCCATCCTGATCCCTCAGGAAGGAAGAGGAGGGGGCAAAGTCTCGCTGTGACCGGACCACCCCCCAAACTGCCTCGTATATGTTCCCAGTCGCCCCGTCCAGTTCTGGGTGCTGGGAAAAATGTGTTTATTGCATGCAGAGGGCCCGTTCTAGTGCCCAAGTGTACAACCGCTGTGATAGTGGACAAAATAAAACACAAACATACTCAAAAGAGAGCAAATTTCCTCTTCCAAACACGGCAAGCCCCAGGTCCCTTCACAGCGACCCACCACCCGAACCAATTCAACCCCTTGCCACAAGGGCCGAGGCCTGGCAGGCCATCCCCGGCGTGTCAAAGTGGGTTATGGGGATTATAAAACGAGGTTATCTACTCCAATTCGCTCGAGAACCCCTGCGTTTCTGCGGTGTGATCCCCACCTTAGTAGGGAACATGAATGCTCGCATTCTTCATTCCGAGGTGGCTGTGCTGCTGGCGAAACGGGCCATAGAAATCGTCCCAGCAGCTCAGAGTGAGTCAGGCTTTTACAGCCGCTCACGGGCTGGGGAGCCCTGTGCGACGGCAGACCAGCCTTTGGCACGTGGTCGAGCGAAGAGACAAAGCTGCACATCAACTGCCTGGAAATGCTGGCAGTATGGCAGGCCTTACAGTCCTTCCTACCACATCTAGAAGGATGCCATGTCTTAGTCCGATCGGACAACATGACGGTAGTATCCTACATAAATCGCCAGGGCTGCCTTTCCTCCCCACGCCTCTTCAGAATGGCAAAGAGCCTACTGGAGTGGGCACATTGCCACTTGCGCTCCCTAAAAGCAGCGCATATACCGGGCAAACTGAACCAGGGAGTAGACATGCTGTCTCGGAACAACGTCCCCTCTGGCGAGTGGATGCTTCACCCCCAGACGGTTCGGAGAATATGGGAGATCTTCGGGAAGGCAGAGGTCGACCTCTTCGCCTCAGAAGACAACTCTCACTGCCCAATCTATTTTTCGAAGGAAAGGGATGCGCTGGCCCACGATTGGCCCAGCCTTCTCCTTTACGCTTTTCCCCCGATCGCCCTGATCCCTCAGGTCATCAGGCGAATCAGGGAACAAAGGCACAAGGTTCTTCTAGTGGCCCCGCTCTGGAGAAACCAACTATGGTTCTCAGAGATGACTCAGCTGCTCACGGCAGCTCCATGGCCCATTCCCCTGAGACAGGGCCTCCTCTCTCAGGCGAACATGACGATATGGCACCCCCAACCCAAGTTGTGGGCCCTACACTTATGGCCTCTCGATGGGAGCTTATGAACCTACCAGAGGGTGTCTTAAATACCATTTCTCAGGCCAGAGCCCCATCCACAAGGCGCCTCTATGCCCTCAAATGGTCGGTCTTCACCGCTTGGTGTACAAACTGCGGTGAAGATCCAGCCACATGTGACGTATCTTCGATATTGTCCTTCCTTCAAGAGCTGTTGGCGAACATGACGATATGGCACCCCCAACCCAAGTTGTGGGCCCTACACTTATGGCCTCTCGATGGGAGCCTATGAACCTCCCAGAAGGGTATCTTGAATACCATTTCTCAGGCTAGAGCCCCATCCACAAGGCGCCTCTATGCCCTCAAATGGTCGGTCTTCACCGCTTGGTGTACAAACTGCGGTGAAGATCCAGCCACATGTGACGTATCTTCAATATTGTCCTTCCTTCAAGAGCTGTTGGATAAGGGTCGCACCCCCTCCACTCTTAAGGTCTATGTGGCAGCTATAGCAGCGTTTTATGCTCTTATAGATGGGATATCTACAAAAATCTACATTGACCGCTCCGCCTCCTTTAGGCAGTCGGAGCAGCTCTTTGTATGCTTTGGTGGCCGCACCAAGGGGCTTCCGGTCACAAAGCAAAGACTATCCCGTTGGATAGTTGACGCAATAGCTCTTGCATACTACTCCTTGGGCCTTCAATGCCCCATCGGGGTCAGAGCACATTCCACTAGAGGCATGGCCTCATCCAGGGCATGGTCCAGTGGTGTGTCCATTGCAGAAATTTGTGCGGCGGCTGGCTGGTCCTCGCCGTCCACCTTTGTCAGGTTGTACTCCCTAGACGTCCCTGCTTTGCAGGCTCAGGTCCTTTCTGCTTAACACTCTCTCTGAGCTCAAAACGCTCCAGGAACCATATCCCCGCCCTAAGACTGGATTTAATCCTTGCCGGGTTTGACTATGTTTTCGAACCCGCTGAAGTTCCCACGTCTGGGCTTAGCTTCCGGCACGCTCTCGGCCCTATCTAGTTCCGAGGCTGTGTGAAGCTCTAAGAACGATTATGTAAGGCCGGGCTCGACCTCTATGAGTTAGCCCATTTCTTTGCCTCCTCGTGACCCCAAAAAGAATCCGGGTCTCTGGCTATGGTCTGCTTCATTGTAGTTGATCTACAGGGCCCCTTTCTGGACGCCCTGGACAATTACGTATAAGTCGTTCATCTACCATAGCACGGTGTGATTGAATAGGTTCCCGTAGCGTCTAACGACGCAGTACGAAGTGAAGTATCGAAAGGGAACGTACTCTGTTACT